GTACAACTACCAAACGTGTGAGATACTATTTTTAAACTATACTTTAAGTAATGCAACCAAACTGGATTTTTACGTTTTGCCTCTAGTGTAAAGGAAATTAAGCCAATCCTTCCAAAATGGCATCATGTCAAATGTATTAAAGTCTCTACATTAAAAAGATAAGAAAAATCAATTTAATGGTAATGTTGTCTACCATTTTGAGTAGAGAAGAGATAGCGAGCTCTGGTTTTCACCATTCTTTAAGTTTTTTGAAAACACTTCAAAATAAGGTGTCACTTGAAGGAGGTTTACGTTAAATATTTTTCGGTCTCCCCCAAAATCCCCCATTTTTAGGGGACACTCAAAATTGTCAAAATCATCAAATAAAACTTCCTGCTAAGATTGCAAGACCACCAAAGGGACATCTTTGTTTATTTACTTAATAACTTCTTGATCAGCATTGTACGTGTTATTAAATTTACGGAAAGTAAATAAAATTAAAAAATTAAAAGTAAATAAAATCGCCTCTTCGATTTTTAGAACATAAGATAGTGTATAAATCCACCAACATAGGTTTTTAACCTAAGGTGGTTATTGTTTTTTTTCTTTTTTCATGTGTAAATGTATTTTGTGTTGTGTATGGAAAAAACAATAAAGATTTCTAAAAAAAAACAAAAAAAAAAACGTCTTATAGCACTTAAAACATATAATTACGCTTATACTGCTACTCACAAGACGGTAAATATATACCCATTCGCCTATTGGGTCTGATGATGATTGGAGTGTCCAATCGAAATCGATCACCACTTACCATCTGTTTTGTATATTTACCGTCTTGTGAGTAGCAGTATAAGCGTAAATATATGTTTTAAGTGTTATAAGACGTTTCTTTTATTTACTTTCCGTTATTTACTTAAAAACATATTAGATGGGGGGGGGGCGTCTTGACTTTTTACTCACTCTGTATAATATCTATCACTAAAAACAAAATAAAAAGATTAAATCACCAAAATCCTATACAAAATCCTATATATCTCATGCATACATAATATGTCACTCACAAATGAAAATTTTTCAATTTCTTTTCTTCTCCGTATTTAATGGAGGTTATAATATAAACTGGTATGCCCATTGTCCTCGATAAGGTTGGCACTATCATATCCAGCAGATAGACATTTAGCTGGTGCTACACAATGCCACGAGTTAAATTATTGACTCATTCCGTTCTTAAAGCACCTTCTGAATGACAGTAGCGTCAGTTCATGGCTAACAGAGACTTATGAAATAACAAACATTCTGTGTACCTTGGTGGACAAAAACACGCTGAAATTTCTGTATGCTTTGACTTCTACTTCCATTTATTTATAATATAAATAGATAGGCAAAGACAAAATATTCGGTTATTTAACATGTACAACCATAGTTTAAGAAAACATAATTATCCGCCGGAATCCGAATTTGACTTTCCAATCCGGCCAAAAATATGTATGGAACAGGTGTTTGCTTAAGAATTATCTAACTCCTAATGATTTCCCCTAACGCCTATATTTTGTGTTTTACTGAACACAAATGCTTAAATGATTTCGTTTGGTTTTGACGACCGTCTAGTTTGTAAAGTCAAAAACAAACAAAGTTGATTCTGGAAAGAATAGTGAGTGCTTTGTTGTATTATAGTAGTTGCACGAAAACTATTTCATTAATAAAAAAATTCTACCTAAAAAATACTTCTCTGCTGGTAAATGAATTACTAACTGGTACAAAGCTATATATAACATTACTCTTTCTATTAAAAAAAATAAATAATTGTTTTTTTTTCTTTTAAATAATATAAACAAACTCACGTATGAAAATTCCTTTTAAAAAGTGCAGAACGTCAGCAGAGATGGCAGTCCTTAAGGAATCCGCTGTCGTTTTCTCGACATCCTTAATCCCCAAAAATCTCTACGCTCCAATATTTTATAAGTTTAAGATGCAGAGTTATATCAATCTTTGTCAGTTAAGTTTATTTATATTTTAATGATATGCCTAGCTAAACTGTAGACCTAATTTTGGACCGTTTGATTAATGATTAATGTTGGGTGCAAACAAAGAATTTTATCATTTTTAATACAAAGTGAATCCTGCGAATCTGTTTTTGTCTCAAATAAAAACGTGTTAGCTCACACAAAACTTAAGCTCTTAAAAACATTGGTTACGTACGTTGACAAAACCACATTATATAAAAATAACTATCACTTTACACCCTGAGGCACAAATGTAGGAGCGTAGTTGAACTGAACATTTGAATTTGCAAAGGGCGGCAGCATCATAGCCATGATTCGATTGCACATTTAAAGCCCCTGTTACGGAGCGTTGGTTCTTTGGGGACGAGGTTATGCAAATGTAGCCCAAATTGGCGTGACCGATCCCTTTAAACCGGCATTAGCCCAATACACATCTAATAAACGTCGAAATTAAAATGTAACGCGCCCGGCTACCTAGCACTTATCTCGTTACGCGTCGTTAAAAATGTATTTCGCCTCACAAAGCTCATGCCGTAGCCGCGTGAGAATGTTATTCAAATTACAGACTGTAAGAATATAAGTAAAATAAGGTGTGATTTGTTTATTCGTTGCTCGCGTGTCTCGGCCCAGTAGCACCGGGAGGAAGTGGGTCGAAAATTGGAGAAGAAAGTGGGATTAGGAAATGGGATGAATCATTTGTATAGTGTTATTGTTTCCCTGTGTAATCTGTGCTGTTTACAGTAACACAAATTCAGATCAATTCACTTTTAGCGAATTTCCCATATAGGGAATAAGCTATTACCGTAGTACTCATGGTAAGACCTGGACCCGGGATCGATTTACTTTTTCGTTTTGAGGTCTCTAGAGGCCAGAAACACCATCCGTTCAAATTCATATATATATATGAGTAAAAATTATCCGATTTTGATGAAATTTTGTATAAACCTACATTTATTCGAACGAGTTCGCGAACCAGCATGATTGAACCATGAGAACGGGGGCTTATGGGCGGTTTTATGGGGTGAAAATTGGTTTTTCTCATTTTTGACCCTAAAACAAAAAATTAGCAATTTATTTCCAAACCATTTTGTAGAGCTTAAAAAACAAATAATTTATTATACTGAAGCGTTATTATGCGCCTAATGGTTACGGAGAAAATTCCAAAAAAATTTAAATTTAAAATTGCCATGTTATTCTTATGGAGAATAAGTAAACTGTTGTTCTTAGCTTGTTTATGATCACGTTTGGAAAATGCATTTATTTCATACTTAAACTATTAACATTTTACAAAAAAAAACTTGTTTACCCTCCCTGTTGAAGCAAACCTAGAGTACTCGTTAAACCAATGCTATTTAAATAGGAAATAAATGTGATATTTTTAAGGAGAAATTTCAGTGTAAATCCAATTAGGCAAATGAAATTCCGCTTAGTCTGCAGGTTTTCTGCGGCGGGGGTTTTACGCATTATAATAGGTGTTCTTGACAATTTATTTTCCTAATCTCAGCTTGAGTATGAATTACTATTTCTATTTCGTCTATCAATAATCCCCGGGGTACTGTATGGACTCTCGCATCCCCCACAGTTTTCGCACTGGATCGATGCCACCGTTGCAGGTTGCTGGTGTCCACTGTCCACTGTTCCACTCCCCTATGGGCGTCTCGTAGGGTTGCAGTTCCCGGGGCCCGCCCCCCGGCGTCGATTGGTTCGCGTCGTAACCCGAGCCGTGCCGTGGTGTCGCCCCGAGTACGTCTCAACGTCCCGGGATTATGCTAATACAGTCCTCTGCCATGACATCTGAGCCACACCGTTGATTTCAGATCGGGTTACCTTTGAAAAAGAATACTTTTCGTGCTGTCGATAGCGAATTCCGGACTCAAGGGATGTTGAGAAAACTACGAACTGCTCCCGGTCACAAGGGCTGTTGACAAATTCCGGACTGAGTTTCAAGGTTTGTTGATTGTGGATTGCGGGATGTTCCTAGTCCCCTAACTTCAGACTACTTTGAGTCTCAATGGTAGTATACTCCGGATTGCCCCGGTCCTAAAAGCTGTGGATTAAGACGCGAGGTTTACGTACAGCGAACTAAACTGTTTGGACATCTGAGATCAATCCATAGCTATCTCCGGAATTCAAGGGTAGTCGGTCTCATCTAGCATGTTTCGGATCTCTTTGGTCATTGGCACCCCTTTTTGAGCTTCTCCGGATCCGATGCGATGTTGTAATCGTGTTATGACATCTAGACTTCGGTATACGACGGTCCTCACTGATACATCCAATCTTATCAAAATCCCTCCAGAACGGCATTTACACTCCAAGTAGCTTCTGTGGTTGAGAACGTAACGTGTGATCCAGTGCAAGTAGACAACGCAAACTGGTGGTTTAATGCGTGCAATGCCCGGATCTGCACTCCAGTGCAATCGTCGCTCTCCGTTATGGGTCTTTTCATTGCCTTTTGTAGCTTTATGACACATAAAATGTTTATTCCTTTCAAAATGAGGGAGGCCATGATTTGATTTATGTGTCTACGCTGTTTTGACGCATACTCGCGTCGTATTTTTTTCAAATTTACAAAATATCTTTCATCTTTTTTAATTGTGAGTGCACTATTAACCCTGCTGCAACTACAGTACAACTAACAGGAAGGATGTCATATTTCTAAGTTTCTACCGTACTTGCAATTTCCATTGAAAGAAACTTTTAAAAACTTTTATGAACCTCATTCTACTTTAGTTGTACTTGGATGCTTCCTATTCTCTGTATTTATCCTTAATTAGATATAGTGGGAAGTAAAACACTGATATTCCTATAATTTACTACACTTTACAGCAGACTTTTTTAATCAGGTAGGATAAGATCTTAGTAAATGACAAAATTTGTGGTATTAAATTTTGCATTAGAGCCATGCGCTATCTTAAGCATGACAAATAAGTACAATTACATCTTAACACAATAAAGTTTGTACAGTTGTTAACCAACTTTGATCTATTTGAGCCTCTAACTTGTGGTATTTTGTTTCAGATTCAGGATAGACAATACAGATCACATAATAGACGTAAACAAAGGGAACTATCCCTTTGAATACGACCAGGTGAATATCATCTGTCCAGTGTACACACCCGGCACTCACGAAGAGGACGCCGAGAAGTACATCATATACAACGTAAGTACATAATATACTGCATAAGTTTATCACAAACGATAGTAGTACACAATACATAAAATAAGTACATAATGTACAACGTAAGTTTATTACAAACGATATTACTACATAATGTACAACGTAAGTGCTTCTTATTCTTAAACAAATTAAGTACATAATACACAACGTAAGTACACAATATACTGCATAAGTTGATCACAAACTATATTAGCACATAATACATAAATTAAGTACCTAATGTACAACGTAAGTTTATCAAAAACAAAATAAGTTCATTATATAACGTAAGTTCAACTTAAACAAATTAAGAACATAATACACAACGTAAGTTCATCTTAAACAAATTAAGTACACAATACACAACGTAAGTTAATCTTAAACAAAATAAGTTCATAATACACAACGTAAGTTCATCTTAAACAAATTAAATAGATAATATACAACGTAAGTTCATCTTAAACAAAATAAGTACATAATACACAACTTAAGTTCATCTTAAACAAATTAAGATCATAATATGCAACGTAAGTACATCTTAAACAAATTAAGTACATAATACGCAACGTAAGTTCATCTTAAACAAATTAAGATCATAATACACAACGTAAGTTCTATTTAAACAAATGAATTACATAATATACAACGTAAGTACATCACCAACGATATTAGTACATAATATACTGCATAAGTTGATCTCACAGGTACATAACACAAAAATTACATAATATACAACGTAAGTTTATTACAAACTATATTAGTAATAATATACTGCATAAGTTCATCACAAACTATATTACTACATAATACACAAAATAAATACATAGTGTACAACGTAAGTTCATCACAGACGATTGTAGTACAAAATATAATGCATAAGCTTATAACAAACAATATTATTACATAATACACAATTTAAGTACACAATTTACAACGTAAGTTCATCTTAAAAATGATAAGTATATAATAAACAACGTAGGTACATCATGGACGATATTAGTACGTAACATACAGTGTAAGTTCATCATAAACTATGTAAGTGCTAATATACAATGTAAATTCATTTCAAACTTTACAAGTACATAATGCTCCCTTGAGTACATAATAAACAACTAAGTCAATCATTTGCATTGTTAAAGCATATAGTATAACGTGGTTTCTTCTAGTATAACATGATATCATCGTAAACGTCCTAGGTACGATCTTATACGACTTAGGGTAATGATTTAAAACTTAATTACAATGCATAATGCTATTGTATTGTTAACTAAGAGGAAATGCTGTAAAGTGATTTATGGAGTATAAATAAATTACGTAAATTTTTATGTCCAAATCCACAATAAGTTACGTTAGGCCAAGATCTTATACAGTATTATGGTAGCGCATATCGATTTAGATTTAATTGATCGACTGACAACACAATTACACCTTACAAAACTTGTCCTAATAAAAATACAATAAGAATATTTATACAAGAATTAAAAACAGTTTTATAATTTTTACTGCAAGTATGTTTGACACTCACAGAGAGTCTTCTATTCAATATATTGTTACTTTTTATTAACAAAAATACACAATTTTACTACATTAAAGTAATTACTTAAAATATTTCTAAAAATACTAAGTATTTATTTTGCAAACGATTTCTATTTGCATTCGTAGTTTTGAAAAGCCATTCACACAGTTGACGACACCACCCACTTTGTTTCATACGTTTAATACGACTTTTACAGTCGCCGCGCCGTCGCGAAATCAATTCTCATTCCGTGAAATCGAGCCCTGTCAGTACATAAAGAAGTGAGAAGTACATAAAATGTTGACGAATAAACATTGAGCATACTCTGTAATATCAGTCAATGCCAACTAGACCTCCTACCAATGACGGATACTATTGAAGCTATGTCGTAAAGACTAGGACTGCCGAAGAGGTCGTCAATCCTTCAGAATCCGTGATTTACTGTTGAGTCTTCCTGCAGAGGATGACGATTGCAATTGGTGATCGGAAAATCGAATAGTCTGAGCCTGGAATGATGTGTAAACTTGGATCCGAATAGTCCATAAGCTTGTACAAGTAGTAAATGTCTGAAGGTTTGGGAACAGAACAAATCGATTTGGCTATAATTTAGTACAGTATTTTGGGTCGTGCATTAATTGCGCCAATGAATTCCTTAGTTGCGCCAAACCATCAAAGGGTCCCAAAAAAGTTCTTTAGTTGCGCCAAGCTCAAGCCAGGTAGGGGTGAGTTGCCGGCAGAAGGAATGTCCTTGTTTATGTGTCATCCCAACCTAACCTAACTTAATCTATCCTACCCTAACCTATCCTAACCTAACTTAACCTAACCTAATCTACTCAATTATACAGTCAAACAGGGCCATCACTTGGCTTGGTTAAGGAACGTATCAGGTACTACCTGACTCAGGTCAGTTGGCGCAATTAATGCCCGCCCGTGTTTTGGAGTGTGTATACAATTTGTGACTTAAATTCCGAGTTTTTCACTTTTAATCGTCTACCGTTAGGAATCTGTATTACAAACGATTCATTTAATCATAGGGTAAGATTGAACATACTTCGTGATTAATTTATCATTTGAGTGGTTCAGCTGAGGACAATTTTATGGTATATTTATGTCCGTTAAATGTCGAGTGTGTTTGAGTATAAAATATTATTTTAACCAAATTAATCCATTTATTGTAAACTTATTTTTTCTCTGATTTTAGAACCAAATTATAAATCGCATATAGTGAAACATATGTTAAAATAAAATAAACACATTCTGTTGACATACTGTATTCAAGCGTGAAAATTATTGAAACGCTCTTCAACTTTTGCTATAAGAAGTAAACTTTAAGAATTCAAACGTCAAAGGGCAAGTACAATAAAACTAAAAAAATACCCTTTTGACCCCCCTTGATTTATAATATTTTTTTCTATCTTCAGCATTTTGCCAGTGCTGTAAACAAACATATTGATTTGCTCCTCGCCTATATTTTTCCCAACTATGAGTATTTTGACTGATGAATCATTGAATGTATAAAGACATTACTACTGTACCGTAAACTGGCCTCTGTTTATGGTGTTCAGCACACACGTCCCGGCCTCGTCGCTTAGCAGCTCCTCTCCCAAGCAGTAAATCCTAAAGAGTTATGCCCCACAATAGGGAAGAACCCTCCTTCTTTATCGTGTCGTATATGGGTGCAATTCTTGTCAAACTCATAATTTAAGAAAACCCTGCGTTAAGAACAGCTTTGTTACGGTATCCAGTGTGTAACATTCTGTAGAAAATCAGTAGTGTGTGTACATTTTCATATGGCAGTAAAAACTTCCACGATAAAAACACAATCCCCACATCTCCATTGAGATATTACTTAGATCCCAATAGATTTCTGTAGGATTTTCGTGTTGTTAACATGATGATTTTGTTAACAACGATATAATATTAATCATTTTTGACCAAGTGCGAACAATTATTTTCATCGTACGAATAAATTCGAAATATTACACGAGACCATTGAAATGATTCTGACTTATGTTACATCCCTGGTTTTAACAACTGTCTGTCTTACGTCTTTACTCATGCTTACAACATAGATATAAACTGTTAGTTGAATAAGGAATCCATTTACAGTGTAAAAACCACACTCAGTTTGTAAAGTGCTGTACCCAATAGGCGCATGTACAGTATTGCAGCATGTAGTATGTAGGACCGAGCTTGAGCTGAGTTTACAGCGTCTGGCGCTGTACCTCGTTATTGAACACTCTTGTGCAACCATCCCATTGTCTCTAGCCATAAACTGACCATAAACCGATCACTCTTGCACCTCCTAAGCCTGTGATATGACAGAACGCTGGGTTTGAGGTAGTAAAGGGTGACCATTGGGAGGGCATTGTTAGCTTCTGACGTATAGAGATCGAATGTTCGAAAATAGTTTAAACAACTGGACAAAGTGATCGATTTATCGCAATTTCTGTAGTATTATTGTTTATAGGACGTATAAAAAGCTAAATGTAGGATACAATTGTATTGGTTTAGCCCTGGTAAATCGTCAGTTCCGTTATGTCATGTTATTGAGCAGTTTGGGTTTATAATGGGGATTTTACCGTACAAAAATGATACAGAATTACAATTGCGTTATAATGATGATTAGATTGGTACTGTACAAACTGTTGCTGGTACGATTATTGGTATTATCAACATGAGGCCAACAATTGAGACTTGTAAACATTGTTTATGAAATGAAAAACCTCTACGTTAACTAATCTCAGAAGAATTTTCAAACAGTAGTTTCCTTTTACAAATTATAAGTAATTGTTTACTAAGCAAGGTCTTCTTAGAACCTGAATATTCTTACTTGGTAAAACGTAACTTGGAAACATCACGCAAAGCAATCTTCCTTATTCTCCTTAGCGTTTAACTGTAAACAGTAACTCGCTGTGCCCTTTAAATGAGTGCGATTACTACGTCTGCGTACTAGAGCCGTGTAGCTGCGCATTTCACTGTGTAGACACTACGTCTGCGCACCTAAGCCCTGTAGCTGCGTGATACATTGTATGGTCACTACGTCAACGCATTAGAGTCGTGTAGCTGCGCAGTTCACCGTGCAGTCACTACGCATGCTCAATAGAGCTCTGTAGCTGCGTAGTGCGTTACACGAACACAACGCCTGCGCTGTAGAGTCGTAATGCTTAGCTGCGTAGTTCACAGCTGTATCGAGAGTCACACCGAGTTACGGCCCAAGAGTTATGCCTTCATGATTAACACGAACACAAAAGCTCGCAATACTCACGTATTTACTACCGCAGTCGCAGGCTGATTGGGCCGAGAATCAGCTTTATTGTTGGAAACAGCGGTTTATTGGCAAATCAGACTTTACTTTTATGAATCGTTACTGGCACTTTAATGTTCTGCTCGGAGTGCTATGTCCCGCGTAGCGTCTAGACCGTTTTACACATCTGACTAACACTTGGGCTTACATTATGGCTTATTTTTCAAACGGCTCATTCCG